ACGCGTCAATGTCGACGCTGACTGGGCCACGTGCTCATCACGACTAAGAGTGACCTTTCCGCCAGCTCCCTTCCTCCTCTTGCCCCGCGCGCGCGTTTTCTGTTCGGGGAACCCAACCCAACCCAACCCAATCTCTCATTGCGACTCGGTTGCAAGGGTCATTTCCACTGCAGTGTTGCCCATGCGCCGCTAGAGTACATTTCCCCCTGCCTTTTCGTAAGACCAAATTCCCCACCCCCCTCCACGTCATCCTATCGGCTACCCTGCCATCTCAGCTGATCGGCTCCGTACACGTCAGAGCCTACCTGCTCGTACCTCCCTCATCAACTGCTGCTGTTGGTTCACTGCTCCTAGTGAACATGCATGATCCACCAGTGCTGTACACTGAAAAGCACATAACGGAACTGCTCCGTACGTGAGAGTAAGGTATTCAGAAGTGCGTTTTCCGTGCTGCTAGACCAGAGTTAGTTCCTTATGCTGGCAGCTGAGAGCTGCCTCGGATACCACCGCTTTCGTCACACGAAGTGACGGTTCGCGGTGTGAATAAACATCACGCGGCGACGTGTCTCTCCCAGGGTCGCTAACTCGACCCACTTCCATTCCCCTTCTAAAGTAGCCGATCCATGGCGACACTCACAGCGCATGGATCGCTAGCGCTGCGATCGTCGTCTGCTCTGAGCGAAGCCAGCTCGCCTCTCTCATCGAGGTCCTTGGCCTCCTCGTCTGCTCGCCCCGTCGCGTCCCTCTCACTGCGATCGCCGTTCCTCCACGGCTCTTGGCCAGCCGCAGCGAATGCAGCTGCCTCTGCTGCCGCTGTGTCCAAGAGTTCGCGGGTAGGAGGGCATGCATCCGCATCGCCATCGCAACGCGCGGCTTCTCGAGTGAGAGCAGCGGCGAGTGAAGCGCAGGATTCTCAACCAGCGGATCATGAACAACAGTCTGAGACCAAGCAGACCGTCCGGGTTTCGTTAAGGTGAGTACAGGCCGAGAGTTTCGAACTGCCCAGTTTTCCGTTGGTGGGGAGAGGGTTGGGGGAGGGTGGGGAGGGGGGGATTTGAGGTTGGAGCTCTTAAACCCTGATCCCGAATTTTCTTCAGATTAATGTCAAGACCCTCTTACCACTTTGAAGCAAATCATAATTACTCACTGATATTCACATGACCTTCACGAACTAATCCAAAGTAGACCTATAAGCTGATTCGCGCAACCAACCAACCACTTTTGCCCTCACTTGCTTAGTACGGATTGCTTCTTGAATGTCTGGCCACTGATTGTGCTTCTCTCCTTCTGCACCACCGTAGTTGGATCGCAATTCAGACGTTTAGGCTTGCTTCCTCAAGACTTGCATCCCTCCTTCTTTCCCTTTCCCCCCTTCTCCACATTTTCTCTTTTCCCATCTCCCCCCGCGCGTGCAGGCAACCCCAGCGCGTGCCGCTGGAGGCCATTCAACGAGTGGCGAGGGAGGCCGTTGCCGCAGCGCAGCTCTACTGCGCTGACTTTAAACGAGTACGTTTTTTGCCTTACTGCGTGCACCTTCTAACTCTCCCTCTCGCTTCCGCAACCGTCACCCTCCATGGAAGCCTCTTTGTTTTCTTCCGATCGCCGATCGCTGTGCGCCCTTTAGCTCATATATGCATCTCCCCCCCTCTTCCCTCCTCTCTCTCCCCCCCCACTCCCGCTCTCCCTTCCCCTCTCTTCTCTTTTTCCGTCCTTTAAAGTGTTTATCTCCATTTCCACTCGTTTCTGCCATAATCTGTCCATGCTTGCCACGCGTCCTCTAGTCTGCATTGCAGCTCTTCGTTTGGATTTCCCCCTCTCATGCTTCTTGACTGGCGACACCCTGGCTTGCTGATGATATGATTCGCAGAGCCCGTTAATAGCACAAATTAATAGCACGCATCTCAAACATGCAGATGCGCACACAACGCACTCGCACCGAGTATGGTTACGAGCTTGCTTCTGGACGCCGAGCGCCAAAGCTCTGTCCCTAGGTCGACCGCCGCACGAGTCCTAGAGCGGGAATCAATCCCTTCGCTTTCCGGGTCGCTTCTCTGCGAGTTGACATGTTCCCGTGTGCGTTTCGGTCTCATGCGCCTCACCTCACCTCGCCTCTCCCCTCATGATTCTTAAGGCGTGTGGGCGTGTACGCGCTGCCCCATGTCCATGCATGCATGCACAGTGTGTCGGTTGCAGCCGTCGCATGCTATCACGGCTTCGTGAGCTCGCATGTACGCCATCCCGCCTCCTGCTCACCCTCCTACCTTTCTTCCATACCCCCGCTCTACTCTCCCCCCTCCCCCTCCCCCTCCCCCTCCCCCTCCCCCAACCACCCTTTTCCTCTTCTCCCCATCGCCTCTCTCCGCACACCCATCAGGTCAAGTTCGCTCTCGCGTGTGCAGCAGCAGCAGCAGCTACGGCGCTCTTTTGCATCCGGCCGCCGCCCTCCTTCGCCTTTACCGCCGCACCCGCCACCAACTTCGCCGGCGCCACCACCGCCACCGGCGCATCAGCCGCGGCGATAGCGGCGGGGCACTGGTCGGAGATCGTGCGCGCGGGGTGGACGGGGCTCGTCGCGGGGTGCCTACACACGCTCACGGGCCCAGACCATCTCGCGGCGCTCGCGCCGCTCACCATCGGGCGCAACCGCGTGCAGTCGGCGGTGATCGGCGCGCTGTGGGGGTGCGGGCACGACGCGGGGCAGGTGATGTTCGGCGTGCTGTTCCTGCTGCTCAAGGATAAGCTCCACCTCGACCTGCTGCGCGTGTGGGGCTCTCGCATTGTGGGCGCCACGCTGCTGGCCATCGGCGCGCTGGGGATCTACGAGGCGCAGCACGCCACGGAGGAGGAGCTCGCGGCCGTCGCGCGCGGGGAGGGGGAGGGGGAAGCGGCGCTCGCGGCGGCAGGGGGGGCTGGCGGGGGGAGCGCGTCGCTGGCGGGGCCGAAAGCGCACTTCGGAATCGCGACGTTCGTGACAGGCGTGGTGCATGGGCTTCAGCCGGACGCACTACTCGTCGTCCTCCCGGCGCTGGCCATGCCGTCGAGAGCGGCGGGGGCGGCGTTCCTGGTGCTGTTCCTGCTGGGCACGGTGCTGGCGATGGGCAGCTACACGGCGTTCATAGGATCGTGCAGCAGCGCGCTCAAGGAGAGGGTTCCGGGGTTCACCAAGGGGCTCTCGTGGGTTGCCGCGCTCATGGCTATCGCGTTTGGGGCGGTGATTCTGCTCGGGGAGGTGGTGGGCTTCCAGCTTTTCTGACGAGTGGGTAGTTGGCATGCGCGTGCACGAAAGGGAGCAGGACGGAGAGGTTGTTTTGAGGCGGCGCTTTGAAGCTTGTTTGGGAGGTGTATGGTGAGGTGTTTGAAGAAAGCGTATGGGGAGTGAGTGGGGTGCTGGGTGGTGATGGTGGTGGCAGCGTGGCGGCAGCAGGGGTTTGATGCAGCGGAGGGCTGTGGGAGACTGAAAGAGAGGAAGAAGCAGCTTATGCACGAGGTGTGTATGGAGCGGAAGCGGATGGCAGGAGGGAGGAGTGTCTGGTGGTTGGATTGGTGCTCCTGAGGGGATAAAAGGGCTGAGCAGGTAGATAACTGGAAGGGGCGTGGGCAGCAGGGCAGGGGAGAGGGGAGGGATCAAAGTGCAGGCCTACAGGCTGAAGGGTTTACTGGGTTCTGCAAAAGGGGGGCCATTGATGTGACAGGCATACAGGAGCGGGCCGGTGGCAAGGGGAAAGTGGAGGATGGAGTAAGGCGAGAGTTTGAGAGAAGGGTGGGAATGGATGGTGGCAGCGGAGCTTGCATTTTATGCACAGAATATTGGGAGTTCTAGTGTCGTCATCATCATGTACCTGCTAGTAGAGCCAGAGGAGGCATGGCAGGAAGAATGCATAAGGCTCCATATGCTAGAGCTACTCACAAGCTGGCAATTGGACACCAAGGTAACTAGCGACGCTGAGGCTCTGCAGGGATTATGGTGGCTTGGTTTGTTTACTGTTTCGCCACCTCAGCTGTTTCTTCCATTCAGGTCACACGATCCCCCCTTCTGGCCTTATTCCATTTCGTCTCCTTGTCTTCCTGAACTTGTTACCCCGCATGGCCTCCAAATTTCTTAACGGACATAGGATCTGCATTTTCATTTCCTTTTTTCTTCGTCTACTTTAGGGGTATGCATGTGCAAGTATTCCTGCATCAGTTTTGGCGGTGTGCCTGTGAAGCTCTACTTACAGTAATTGTTGATAACATGAAAGAGATTGAACACATTACGGGTGGATAAATGCTATTGACTGTAGCGCGTACCTGTCACAGGCATGAGTACTAAGGAGCATTTCAAAGCCTTAAATTCAATCACCACAAGTTATGACCTCTGGAAATCAGAAGAACCATACTGAACCGCTCAAAGCCGTCAAAGTTTTACATTTTGAGGACCCAAGCGCTGCCTTGCATGCAAGGATTGCTTTCCACGCGGCAGAGCCAGCAGCGGTCATGGCGGTATTGCGCGCCCAGCAGAACTCAGGAAGGGAATTAATCTTATGCGCGCCGATAGCGTGTCCTTCCCATGCACAGTCAAGCCGCTAGGGGACGACCAGCTTCTCCTCCATACTGCTGTTCCTGCTGTGATGTGCGTGGAAAGGATGGAACTGTCACAGCAGGGTTGCTTTGGGAAAGTTGAGCATCGCTCTTTGGGTCGACAGTTTAGCACACTCGAAGCCTTTCTTCATCGTCGTCTTCTAAGCGTCTCTTCAGCGTCTTCTCAGCGCCTCGTCTGCTGATAGAAAGACTAGTAACCGCCTTGCCCAGCACCGGAAGTCAGGCTGCCTGGGTTTGGGTTCACCCCGTCACCATGATGTCATCGAAGCAAGTGAGTACGAATCTCAGCAGCGTTCTTGCTGTTGTTGTGTCTCACGGTCAGGAGACCTCGCTGCTGTTCGTTGGAACGAAATTGCTTACTGTACGCATCTGACGGTTTTTTTTTCTGTTTTTCTACGTATGACCCCTCCTTGTAGAATGGCATGCGACAGGGCGCCAGGGTAATCGTCCTTGCTGGTCGTTCCTACTTCTCATCCGCCCTTGGCGCGTCTCCTGCGCCAAACACCTCACGCTCTGCTGCCGCTGCGGCTAACACCTGCGTCACGCGCCCGAACCTGACCATTCATCACCTGGCACCTGGAACCTCATCCTTTTCGTCCAACTTCGCCTTCGCCTGCCTGCGCGGCATCGCCACCAGCTCTCCCGCCGCGCGTCCGCCCGGCGCGACGGTGCGCGCGTCGATGGAGAACGTGGAGACGATGACCATGTCGGACGCGGAGATCCGTGCGCTCGGCGCCAAGAAGCGCCCTCCCGGGGAGCACCCTGGCGGACCGCTGCACCAGCAGGGCCGGCTGAGTGGCTGGTAATTACGTCTCTGCCGTTTAAAGCCCGTGTTTAGGTGGGAATTTGCTAGACGGCAGCCAGTGCTGCGGCTAACGTGCTTGCACTTTGTTGATGTGTTCAGGTTCAAGCCCGAGCTGAGGGCCCTGTACCCGCTGTTCGCCATGCTTTCTTTGGGGCTGAGCCTGGCCGTGTGGAACATGGCTCGCGAGCTGTACAAGAACCCCGCTGTGATGGTCAACAAGAACCGCCGCCAGCACATGCTGTTCGAAATCGACGACCCGCAGACAATTGTGAAGGAGTCGGAGAAGTACCACAATGACAACGTCCTGAAGAAACTGGCCTACAAAGTAATCGGGAACTTCAGAAAGAGGATAAAATTTGTGCCTACTGGAAATCGAACCCGGTGTGCGCCGAGCTCATGGCTGTGTGCCATTCTACCACTAGACCACTGGCACTAACTCGTGCCTTGACATGTGATTTATTTTTATTGTTCCTTTTTTACAGGAAGGAGGGGTTGTTGGCTTCACAAAGCGCACCTCCTTTGAACCACCTCATCTTCCTGGCGATGACTCTCCAGTAATTGGGCGTGCCCAAGGCTCCGTTAGTACCCGTCCTTAGTCTTGATGAGATCAAATATAGATTCCAAGTACGATAGGTGGATAGGGGTGGGTAGGGCCAAAGGCTACCGTATTTAGGAGGAAGGTATCAGTAATCGTTTTTTGTATATATTGGGCCTCACTGATGAGACATGGGCATGTGCTTGGGTATGACGGCTTCTCCAAGATTACTAGTGAAAATGTGTACAAAATACAGCTTGGTATACTGCAAAGAAGTAAATACATGAGGTGACCAAATGAAGATACCAATACTAAGAATGGAGCAGGAGAACAGAGGAATCAGCAGCTACTGGCTGGGAAGTAGCACGACTAGCAAAGAAAATAGGGGCTATTGGTGGGAATTCAGTTGAGGGACAAGAAGGGGCTTCAGATTCGTTTTGGGCCACCCTTAGTAATCAGGGTTCTAGGTATAGTCAACCCTGATGCCTAAGGTAAACTTTTTGTTTCCCTGACAAATGCAGGGTAAAAAAACTGTAACACTGTTTGGCAAAGGTATTTTTTTTAAAAATTACTGTATAATTATTTCTGAGTTTGTTAAGCTCAAGGCTTATTGACTCAGCTGGTGTGTTATGGAATAGGGCCTGAAAGGCGCAGATTCGAGATTTGTTGAAGTGTTTTTGCAGGGGCCCGCATAGTGTTTCGTCTCGCTACGTAGCATTCGGTATCAGTATTACTGGGATTGTACACTGTACAGTCAGGGAAATATGTTCCTTACGCTGTTTTTCAAAGGGTACAAAAAAACTGACACTTTCTGGCCTAGGGTAAAAAATCCACTACCCTGTCTGTGAACGGGTACTGAAAAAAAGCGGCCGCCAGTCAGTGCAAAAAGGGTATTCTACCCTGATAACGAGAGCCCTGGGTTAAATATGGCTAGGCTTAGTGTGCACTTTAGAGGGAGTTGCCAAAGTTGGTTTGACAAGACTAGATGTTACGGGTGCAATGAATCGAGGTAGCGAGAATTGCACTAAGGTGTCAAACGAGTACAAAATGTGAGCGAAGGCATGAGCGAGCATTTATACGCGAAACATGCAAAACGGTAACGCGGTGCGTGCGAACTTGCTAGTGCTACGCTGGAGCGAGGCTCGGGCTAGTCCCGAAGCGTAGGCCGATACGGCCATGCCAGCAGTGCGAGGTTTGGCAAAACAGTGCGCGCGAAGTCGGCGAAGTTCCGTTAGCAGTAACGGGCGAACAGTCGGCTGTTGCTGTACGCGATGTAGTCGGCTCCGTAAGGAATGCCTGAGAAAATTCCTTACACTACCCCCCCCCCTTAAGAAGCCCCCTCCGCTACGCGAGTGCGTGTATATCCCGGAATCCCCGGCTTCTCAAGTACACTTGCAGGGCAGGGTGATTTTCGATGTTGCTCAGGGGCACCCAGCTATCTTCAGTTGGCGTGCGGTCTTTCCAGCGAACGAGGAATTCAATCCTCCTGATTCCCGTGGGGTGGCGGATCCGATGGCTCAAAAATTTCTCGGGCTCGATGATCGGCTCTGATGCAGGGCGAGTCATTGATTGTGGCCGGTGACGCGGCAGTTGACTCGTGGTCGGGATGTATGGGCGAAGTAGGCTGACGTGGAACGAAGGGCTGATGTACCAGTCAATTGGCAACAGTAGGTGCGCGGTGACGGGTGTGATCATGTGACTGATTTGGAATGGTCCACAGTAGCGCGGTCGTAATTTTGGTACGTCGGGCAGTCGCAGATTTTGCGTGTCGAGTAGCACGTAATCTCCAGATTGATACGTGACGGGGCGGCGGTGGCGATCAGCGTTGCGCTTAGCGATGACGTTGGCCTTTTTTATTGCTTCGGCGGCTCTGGCGCGGGCAGCTTGCAGGATTTCGGCGAATTGTTGTGCGCGTGGCGTGGGGTTGTCCGGACTCGGCGTCATGGGCACTGTGGGGTTCTGCCCATAGTTCAGGTAGAACGGGGACTGCTGCGTCGTGGCTGATGTGGCGTTGTTGTACGCGAACTCGATCAGCGGCAGCTGCTGCTCCCAGGTCGTGGGGTCGTCGCACGTGGCACGAATCAACTGCTCCATCGTCTGATTCGTCCGCTCCGTTTGGCCGTCGGTCTCGGGGTGGTACGACGAACTGAACTGTAGCCTGGTCCCGAACTGCTCCCAGAGGTTCTTCCAGAAGTTGCTGGTAAACTTCGTGTCCCTGTCGCTGATAATTGCTGCTGGTATCCCGTGCAGGCGAACAACGGCTGCGATGAACAGGCGAGCGGTCTCTTCGGCTGAGATCGACTTTTTGCACGCAGCGAAGTGTGCCATCTTCGTCAACCTATCCACGACGACCATCACCGCGTCGTTACCCCCAGGGTTCGAAGGTAACCCTGTGACGAAGTCCATGGTTACTTGCTGCCAGGCGCGTTCGGGCGGTGGGATCGGCTGCAATTGACCCGCCTTCCGCTTCCTTGAACTCTTCATCACCTGACACGTCGGGCACGAGCCCACGTGCTGCTGTACGTCGGTCAACAGCTCCGGCCAGTAATAGTACCGCTGCAGTTGCTGTCGTGTTTTTTCTACCCCGAAATGTCCCGAGGTAATCCCGTCGTGTGCCTCCTGCAGCAGCAGCTCCCTCAGTAGTGAGTACGCGGGTACCCAAATGCGGTTGGTGCCTGTTTTTACGTAATAAACTCCTTTTGCTTCTGCCAGTTGCTGTGAATTTCCGGTCGTGAAAAATGGGTCGGTGCGGTATCCGTGGGTGAATAGGCCAGTTAAAAGCGGGTTGGTCTGGGCGAGTAGGATGGCGTGGAGTTGGGCGGTGGGGCGGGTGAGAGCGTCGGCGATGTTGGATGCTCCTTTTTTGTACGTGACGGTGTAGTGAAAATTGGACTCGAGATAGTCCAACCAGCGAATCTGTCGTGGGTTGAGATTCGGTTGGGCGCGAAGGTACTGTAGCGAGCGGTGGTCTGTCCGTACTGTCACGTCGGCACCAGTCAGGTAACATCGCCAAACTTTGAACGCGTGCACGATCGCTAGCATCTCGCGGTCGTGTATCGGGTAGTTACGTTCGGGCGGGTGTAACTTGCGGGACTCGTACGCGATTGGCTGGAGGCCATTCCCGAAATCCTGCAACAGTACTGCTCCCACAGCGATGTCACTTGCGTCGGTGACGAGCTCGAACGGACGGTGGGGATCTGCAATGTGAAGGACGGGCGGGGAGCACAAAATATTTTTGAGGGCCGAGAAGGCAGCTTGCTCTTTCTCCCCCCACGTGTACTCAACCCCCTTCCTCAGCAGGTCAGTCAACGGGGCAGTCAGTTTCGCCATGTCGGGGACGAACCGGCGCACGTAGTTGACGAACCCCAGGAAACTCTGCAACTCGGTCAAGTTGGTCGGCGCGTGCCAAGCCTGAATCGTCGCAATTTTCTTCGGGTCTATTTCCACTCCTGCAGCTGAAATAACATGTCCCAAAAACTCCAGGCGGTCCTGTAAAAACTCACACTTAGATGCTTTGGTCAGTAGGCGGTTCTCACTCAGGATTTTAAAAACTGCTTCGATGTCTTGTAAGTGCTGTGCTCTGTCAGGGCTGTAAATCAGTATGTCGTCCAGATAAACGATGACGCACTTATCTAAAAGCGGGCGGAATGCTTCGTTCATGGTCATTTGGAAAGTGGCGGGGGCGTTGGTCAGTCCGAATGGCATGACGGTGTATTCGAAGGATCCGTAGCGTGTTCGGAATGCGGTTTTAGGGCAGTCGGGTGGGTTGACGCGGATTTGGTGGTATCCTCCTCGGAGGTCGATTTTCGAGAAAACCCGGGCTGTGCGCAGTTGGTCGATCAGTTCGTCGGCTCGTGGGATGGGGTAACGGGATTTGATGGTAACCCTGTTCAGTGCCCTGTAGTCGATGCACATGCGAAAACCCCCGTCCTTTTTCGGTGTGAACAGTATTGGTGCGGCGAAAGGCGACGAACTAGGGCGAATGAATTCCTTTTCTAGCAGGTAATCGAGCTGCTTCCTTAGTTCGTCTAATTCGGGTTGGGTCAGTCGGAACTGTCGCTGTACTGTTGGCTGTGCCCCCGGTTCCAGTTCTATCCTGTGATCGTGCGGTCGCTGAGGTGGCAGTCCCGTCGGCAGGTCATCCGGGAAAATGTCACTGTACTGTTGTAACAGTGCCGCCAGGTCACTCGGTACGTCGGTCAGCAGTTTCTGTAAATCGCCTCCCTTGTCTGCTGCCTCGGCTTCCCGAATGTCAACCGCGTACACGTCGGCTCCGGCCGCAACAGCGCGTTTCATCGTGATCGCGTTGACACGCACCGACGAAGACTCAGGCGAGCCCCAGCGAGGTAAGGCGATGCGGTTACCGTTCACTCGCACGGTGCAGTCACCCGTCGTCCAGTCAATTCGCGGGTTGTGTCGTCGCAGCCAATCACGCCCGAGTAAAATGTCGGTTCCGTCGAGGGTCGTTGCGAGCATTTCCTGACTAAACGTGAAGTTACCCCCGCATCGAATCCGAACTCGGTCTACGCGTTCCCGTATTGCCAGCGGCGTGCCGTCTACCAGTCGTGCGTCGATCTCAGGTAAGCATCGGTCCAGTGGCAGTCGCAGTTTTCGTGCTGTAGCAGTGTTAATGAGGCTGTGGCTGGCTCCCCCATCTACGAAGATTTTAACTAAGTCCGTCCCAATTTTCCCACTGAGCAGTATAGGGCTATCTACCGTGGTACCCTCCTTATTCGGCCGGGTGTGGTCGATTGCGTGAACCGGCACAATCACTCGGTGAGGGTCGGTTGGGTCGGGCGAGCGGCGTGACCTGTCAGTAGAGGGCCCGTCTGCTACTGACTTCCAGCGTTTCCCTGCTGCTTGGTCTGTGTCTGCTGCTCAGCTTCCCCCTTTCCCTTAGCGTTTTCCGGGCATTCGCTCTTGCGATGTCCCGGCCGATTGCACGCAAAGCAGCGCCCTTTGAACGGTGCGGCAGCGGCATTTGCGGCGACGGCGCGTATCGTGGCGCTCTCGTTCGTCCCACGAGGCCGATGTCCCCAGGTGTTGTTTCCGTAGGACCCCGGTCTCGGTCGGCGAAAGAAGTCGAGCTTCTCCGCCATAGCGAGAATTTCCTGAAACTCAGTGACGCCGCGAAGCTGGATTTCCTGAGCGATGTCCTGCTTCAGGCCGCCGATGTAGCGGTCGATGCGTTCGCTCTCATGCATGTAGCCCACCTGCTCGCATAGCGCCAGAAATCCGCTCGTGTAATCCTGGACGGAACCGAGTTGGCGCCAAGTGCGGAGCTTCTGTCGCGCCGAGATCGAGGCCGCGATTGGCTCAAATCGAGCGCGCAGACCTGCGCACCACGCGTCCCACGTGCGATACTGGGGCACCTCCACGAAATACGACGGCGCCCAGGGTCCGGTTTGTCCTTCCCGTGTCGGTAGTGTCGCGTAGTCGGTCGGCTTCGTGACGATGACGCGCCACCAGTCCATGGCGGGTCCTCGCAGCAACGACACGGCGTATCGAATCTTCGCCGAGTCCTCCGAGACGTAGTTGGCGTCGAAGAAAACATTCATTGTGAATAACCACGCCTGAACGGTAGGACCACCCCGTTGACTCGGGTCAAAGCATGGCGGGCGCTGCGGTTTCAGCGGCATCGGTGACGGCAGTCCCGAATCGTGGGTTGGTGCCGAAATCGTGACGCGAGGCTGACTTGGGGCCGCAGGCGTCGCTCTGGGGTGTGTCGTGCCGTGGTCGTCGTCTCCGTCGGGGCGGACGACGCCATCACTGGCCGCGCTCGCGGGTTGCCCCACACTCCCGTGTTGTGATGTTGAGGGTGCAGGTTGAATCGGAGTGCCAGGTGCTTGGGATTGTGCTCTCATGAGGTCATTTTGCAGTGATGAGCGTTCTGCCGTCAATGCCGCGATTTCCTCGGAGCTTTCGTGCAGTTGTCGCAGCAGATCGTTCAAACGCTCCTGCGTGAGAGTGGTGACGTCGATGTTTTCGGCCATGACGAAGGGCGTCGGCTCGTCTTAGTCTAGGCGCAGTCGTGGCTGCACGCGTTTACGAGAGAACGCGAGGACAGCGGCTCCTAGGGGCTAAGGTGCGTGAGTCCCTTCGAGTGAAAAATCAAAAGTTGATTTCCTGGTGTGCGGAGATGCGCGGTCCGAAAGAAAGGGGCTCTGATACCAAGTGTTACGGGTGCAATGAATCGAGGTAGCGAGAATTGCACTAAGGTGTCAAACGAGTACAAAATGTGAGCGAAGGCATGAGCGAGCATTTATACGCGAAACATGCAAAACGGTAACGCGGTGCGTGCGAACTTGCTAGTGCTACGCTGGAGCGAGGCTCGGGCTAGTCCCGAAGCGTAGGCCGATACGGCCATGCCAGCAGTGCGAGGTTTGGCAAAACAGTGCGCGCGAAGTCGGCGAAGTTCCGTTAGCAGTAACGGGCGAACAGTCGGCTGTTGCTGTACGCGATGTAGTCGGCTCCGTAAGGAATGCCTGAGAAAATTCCTTACACTAGACAACAACCAAGGGACCAAAAGGGCAGATGGAGGGGTTGGAAGGTTTGAAGCCTAGGGGCTAGTAGCCAAGGGTGTGCCATGGGGCAGCAGTTTTGGAGGCTGCATCTACGGGGCCTAAAAACATCGCCTTCGCGAGCAGCAAACTGGGGTCCGTTTAGCAAACTGATGAGCGACCACCACTAGCGCGAAGTCGACCGCTGCCCCGCCTACCTACCTGACACTTGCCACATCGCCCAGGAGTTCGGCGGCGGGCCCGAGACTTTTGAGTCGGGTCGGCTGCGCGGACCTGGTTTAGCTGAGTTCCTGGTTTGATATGCCTTCACATTCTATCCTTGTTCGATTTGCTAGAGCTCTCTTCATAAAGCTGTTCATGAGTAGCTACAATCACCGCTGATCCAACCACGACTAAGAGCAGGCCCGATCTATTCCAGCGCGGAAACAGAATCGAACCGCTGCTTGCGTTTTCTTCGTGTACATGTGATCCCCATCGCGTATAACATTGCCGTACATGTAGTACAGACTTCTATATCGAGATTCATTCATGGCGTTACGCCGCGCCATCCCCCACGGCTTTTCTGCCAACCGCTCGTCGCGGCGCGTGGCAAAGGCCGATTCGTCCTCCGATGCAGTAACCCCTGCGGGCCGCGCACGAGAGCTCGTCGAAGCGCTGTCGTCAACGACGGGTCTATCGCTCAACGTCGCAAGCCTGTCGCAGCTGAAGCGACTCGTGCGATACGACGACGAATGCATGCGCGCCGCATTCGACGCTATCATGACGCGCCTCGAGAATAAGCACGCGCAGATCCGCCTTTTGCTGCTCCTCGTTATAGACTACCTCTTTATGCGCTCGCGGCTTTTCCGCCGCCTGCTCCTCCCCGCGCATCTCCTCCCCTTCCTCCGCCTCACACTCGGCATCCACCCCGCCTCCCCCCTTCCCCCGCCTGCCGCCCGCGCTTCCATCCTCCGCACGCGCACACTTGAGTGCCTACAGGCCTGGGCGGCAGCTTTTGGCGCTTCCTACCCGTCCCTGGGCATGGCTTTGCGCTACTTGGTGGGGACGCTCAAGCTCCCCCTGCCGCAGGGGGGAACCGCGGGGGGGCGTGCGGGGAGGCGGGCCGCGGGGGTGGAGAGCGCGCGGGAGAGGCAGCGGCGGGAGAGGGCCGCGCGGGTGCACGCGGGACAGCTGGCACGATACGAACGGGCGCAGGCGGAGTGGGGGGAGTTGGGGGAGGGGATGAGGGGAGCTGTGCGGGAATTGGAGGAGGGGGTCAGGGCGCTGGAAGGGGGAGAGGCGGAAGGAGAAGGGAGAGAGAGAGGGGAAGGCGGAGGGAAAGGAGGAGAAGACAGGGAAGATAAGACGAAAGGAGGTAGCGGGGAAGCAGCGGGAGCAGGAGCAAGAGGAGGAGGAGGAGGAGGAGGAGGAGGAGGAGGAGGAGGAGGAGGAGGAGGAGGAGCAGGAGGAGAAGAAGAAGAATGGTTGGAGCAGGACCCTTTATCTGACACCTACTGTGAGCCATTCGGACGCGCGGAGCTGCGTGTGCTCTCCCATGGCTCACACGCACATGTACGCCTTGCCCACCACCTCTCCACAGCACACGCCCAGGCAGGACAGGTGGGGGAGGCGGAGCGGGCAGGACAGGCGGAGGAGGCGGGGGAGGCAGCACATGCGGGGCGGGAAGGAGGAGGTGTGGATCGTGGTCTTATACAGTCTCTGTGCGCCCTGGCAGCAGTGGTGCAGGGGCGGTATCTGAGTGTGAGCGGCGCGTGGGTGCATGCGTTGACCAGGGTTGACCCGCTTGACCCGGCGTGCAGGGACGAGATGTTGAGAGAGGTCATTGGGCTGAGGGCGCAGATGAAGGGTGTTCTGGAGCGGTGCAGAGCGGTTGGGTTGACGTGGGAGGTGAAGGGGGAGGGAGGCGGGGATGGAGAGGAAGAAGGAGAGGAGGAGGGGAAGGGAGCGGGTGCAGGGAGCGGCGAAGAGGAGGTGGAGTGGGAGGATGGTGGCGGTGGTGAGGATGGTGGCGGTGGTGAGGATAAACTTGCTAGAGCCATGGAAGAGAGGAGTGGTGAAGATATGGGCGTTCTGAACCAAGAGCAGCAGCAGCAGGTGGATATTGAAAGGAGTTGTGGTGAAGGACAGAACCTCGCACATGAGGTAGCACCATCAGCAGCAGCAGCTCCACCACCACTAGCACCGCCAACAACAACGCCAGCAGCACCCGCAGGAGTGCCATCAGCAGCAACAGCAGGTGCGTCCTCGGAACCTGACCAGAAAACCGAGCCATCAGAGCAGCAGCAGGGGCAGCAGGCTGTGCGGCAGCAGCTGCTGCAGCAAGCGCCGGTGCTGGCGTGGGGGTCTCACCTGGTGGTGTGGGGCGAGGAGGAGGCCGCAGGCATGCTGGCGAACCAGAGAGGGCTGTGCGTGAGCAACCACTGGGGCCCTGTGGACCATGGTGCGTGCTTGCCCCCCCAGCGCGTGCGCGAGCTCATGGGCCTGCAGGTCTGCTACTATGAGCCTCCTAAGGGGGTGCGGGGGAGTGCGGGGAGGAGGGTGGGGATGGGGAGGGAGAGGGGGAAGGAGGAGGGGGATAGGAGAGGAGGGGAGAGGGAGGAAAAGGGGGGGAGGGAGGGGAAGGAGGAGAGGGAGGGGAAGGAGGAGAGGGAGGGGAAGGAGGAGAGGGAGGGGAAGGAGGAGAGGGAGGGGAAGGAGGGGAGGGAAGGGGGTTGTCCAGGCGAGGAGAGGATGTTGTGCAGCGGAGTGAAACGACAGAGGGAGGGAGATGACGGGGGAAGGTCTGATGGTGGGGATGGTGGGGATGATGGTGGGGACGTTGAGGGAGAGGAGTTGGAAGTGAGGGAGGTGGCGAGTGGGCCATTGGGTGGGGTACAGGCTGGGGCAGTCAGTGGGGAGAGTGGCGACGGTGGACGTGCACGCAGGGCTGGTGGAGAGAGTGAGGAGGGGGCGAATGGGACAACGGGTGAGAAAGTGGGAGGGATTTCACACAGAGGGTTGAGCGCAGGTGGGGTAGGGGGGGCAGATGGGGTGGAGTGGGAGGCGTGGCAGAGACAGGTGGGAAGGCAGGCAGTCCGCAATGTGAGGCGCAGGGAGAGGCAGGGGTGGAGGCACGGGGGAGGTGGGAAGTGGGATGGGGATGTTGGGCTGGGGCTGGATGGAACCGGTGCTGCTGCTGCTGGTCCTATTGTTGCTGCTGTATCTGGTGCTGTTGCTGGTGCTTGTGCTGCTGCTGCTGCTGGTAGTGGGGACAGGGAAAAGCAAGGCACAGGGGCGGAAGGGAGCAAAGAGGGCATGCAGGAGGAGAGAAGGAGCAGCAGAGAGCTGGGGTCTCTGGATTGGTACGGAGGGGATAGGGGAGGCGAGAGAGGGCGCGAGAGAGGAGGCGAGAGAGCAGTGCAAGGAGGGCACGGGAGTAGCGTCGTGAGTGAGAGAGCCAGTGCGGCCAGTGGGGGTGGCGCAGATGGTTCCAGGAGGTTGGGGGTGGAGAGGCGCGGGTTGGTGCTGCGAGTGGCAGCTAGCCTGAAGCAGCGAGCTGCTCTGCTGGGGAAGGAGGATGCACAGAAGTTGACTTGCTCGGGTGGTTCTGCTATGCAGCATGGGCAGGCTGGGTTGGGTGGTGCAGCAGGGGAAGAGGAGCAGGGCGGTGCGGTCGGGGTGGCACGGGGTGGTGGTGGTGCTGCTGGGGGTGAGGGGCAGTGGAGGGGGGCGCGGGTGGGCCGAGGGGAACAGGGGGGGGGGGGCAGGGGCGGGGAGAGAGGTGGGGTGGGTGCACGTATCCGCGCTCACAACGACGCGGTGTTGATGGCTGCAGAGGTGCGCGGTAAGGGAGGGGAGGTGGTGAGTGGGGAGAGGGGAGGAGGAGGTGGTGAGGAAGGTGCATGTGATGGTAGGCCTGGGAACGAGCAGAGGGGAGTGTTGAGTGGGGGAGGTATTGGGATCGTCATGGGTCTTAATGGTGGTGGTGGTGGTGGTTTCGCTGTTGGCGAGAGTGATGGTTACAGTGAAGGAGCAGGGGCGGGTGGTTGGGGAAGGGAAGAGGGAGTGGGAGTGGGGGGAGTGGGGGGAGAGGGGGGAGAGACGTTAGCAGGTATGCTGAAGAGGAAGGAGGGTGTAAGGGAGAGGCTGGGCAGGAGGTTGTTGAGGGGCAGGGGCAGGGCAGCAGCGGTGGAGCAGATGGAGAGGGAGGAGCAGCAGAGGACCAGAGAGGCGCGGGTGAACCAGTGGTGATGGTGGTGGTGATGGTGATGGGCATTGTGTTGATCCAAACAGAGGACATGGTGAAGGATGGTGCAGAGGACACACAACAGAACACTTCCAGACAGTGCTATGATATATTTTTACACTATACATTACGCACCAGTGCCACAGGGTAGTAATGCTGACCCATCATTTGTGTAGATAGGTGTATCCTGTACATTACATGAATGTAACGTGATAAACCCATTTATTGGATGAGTGTTCTACTCTACACGAAATACAACGGTACTCAAGGCCCTGCGGATGTTTACAGCTAAAGCCGAACAGTCATCTCCCCTAAAATATCAAGCAGTACACCTGCTCCACCAATAATTAAATACATTCGCTGGGCAGTGCCCCTTACTCCGCCACTGCTCCTCCTTCACTACATAACAGCTCAGCAACCCATGAAGAGCGCTAAGAGTCGTGGGAGAAGCACCCTTCCCCCCATAGACACGTGACTCGGCCTTGCATTACCCGCAGCCCCTTCCCCCCCAACTCCGCATAATACCTTCTCCACTGCTTCCTCTCCTTTTGTCACTCTTGAGAGCGCTTGGTTCTCGACATGGCGAACCGCGGGACGGAGATTAATGCAATGCATGCTGCAAATAACTGCACGCACATGCATAGAAGATCACAGCAGCATGCAGCATCCGTGCCAACTCAAATCACTCCCACAGGACTCGCCTGCTCCTCACTCCACCTTCCCCTTGCCCTTCTCCTCCTTGCTTTTGCCCGTGCGCTTGCCCCCGCTGAGCTTCTTGCGTCGCTGGCGGAACATGTGGCGGTACAGGTGCATCCACAGAAACGGGTAGCACAGCAGCAGGCCCTGGCGTGTGCGGTAAAGAGGGTGGGGGTTGGAAGGTGGGTGGGGAATGGAAGGTGGGGGATGGGAATAGAATGGGATACACAGGAATGGGAGGCACAGCAGCAGTCCTTGGCGCAGTGAATTTGCGCGGCGATTTAGCTGAGATGAGCGCGGTGGGCAGAGGTAAGCAGGCGGTGAGCAGGGGAGTGGTGGGGGCAAGGCAACTCACAACAACGAAGTGGTAGTACTCAAAGGGAAGGTAGCCGAAGATGTGCTGAAAGGGCTTCTCAGGGCGAATGAACGGCAGCGCGCTGTACATGAGTGCGACTGGGAGGTGGGGGGGTGGAAGAGGGGCAGTTGGAAGGAGTGCGAGGGATACAGAGTGAGGTTCCTGTGCTGATGGCATGAAGGTAGCCGGAGATGTGCTGGAAGGGATTCTCAGGGCGAATGAATGGCAGCGAGCTGTACATGAGTGCGACTGGGGGGAAGAATGGGCAGGGCAGTTGCAAGGGAGCAATGGGGGTGATGGTGAGAGGGTGGGTTGGTTCAAGACGGGCGATTTGGAATGGGTATAATGGGAACGTTTGGGAGTGTTTGGCAGAGAAAGGGGACAAGTAATGTGCGCACGGAAGGGAAAAACAAGTGTGTTGAGAGTATGGTGTTGGAGAAGAGGACGAAGTGTGAGGGATAGAGAGTAGGGCAACTGTGCTGATGGCACGAGGGAGAGAAAAGGACTTAGCAGACTTGCAGAGTGGAAGGGAGGAACAGGCAGAAGGGAAGCGAGAAGAGAAACGAGAAAAAAGGAGGGGGTAGAGAGTGGCAAGGGAAACAAGGAGGGCGAGAGGGAGAGCGGCACGATGCTGTGGAAGTAAGGCAGCAGGATGGATAGATGGATGGATGGATGGATGGATGGATGGATGGATGGCGTTTGAGGCGCCTCAAAAGCACGACGTTGTGTAGAAGTACAGACGGGTGGATGTATGGATGGAGGGGAGGGGAGGCGCATAGCGTTGCTCTACTCACTCTCCCCTGCGAAGATGCCAATGGGATAGAGCGGGATGAACGCCGTGTACCTGCATGCATGTCAGGCGAGGCATGTGCAGGTGGCGCCAAGGAAAGGCGAGGGTGATGTGAGGGGTGGGGGGGATTGGTTAAAAGAGAAATGGATGAAGTGTGTGTGCGTGTGGAGGGGGGACAAGGGAGTGCTGGAGTGGGGGAGTAGAGTGAGAATCGCTAGAGAAGCTAGAGGGCAGAAGGTGCAATGGCGAGGGGGAAGCGGGTGTGAAGTGTGTGTGTGTGTGTGTGTTGGGAGGTGACTGGGTGTGGTGAGGGCACCAAACATGCTGCCATGGCATGCTGTACTCTCCTCCATCATGCCTCTTCAGCCCCTACTGTTCGATCCCTGTGGTTCCTTCCCTCCCGGTTATGCCTCTCTGTTTATGCATGCGTTTCTTTTCCCAAACCACCTGCAAGAGCCAGCCTGCACCTCGCCAATGCAACAGCACTGCACGCCAACTTCACAGCAAAGGGGGGACCAACCCCCTCTAACGCACACACTCACAACGCACATTCGCACACACTCACACTCATACAAACACGCACGCACACTCACACTGACACACACACACACACCCACACACACTCACACTCACACGAAATCACACACACACACATACACAACACACACACATGCACACACACCCACACACGCGCACACGCACACCCACACACACACCCACACACACACCCACACCCACACACACACCCACACTCATACCCACACCCACACCCACACCCACACCCACACCCACACACAAACGACGGAAGCAGGGGGATGCGATGCGCGGTGGCGGCGAGGAGAGGGCAGAGCAGGGCGCAGCTCACCTGAGCCACGTGAGCCACTCAGCGTAGCAGCAGCCAAGCAAACTTGTGAGGTGGTGATTCCCCTCACAAGGGGAGCCAAGGGGAGAGTGCAGTGCAGCTCACCTGAGCCACGTGAGCCACTCGGGGCAGCAGCAGCCAAGCAAACTTGTGAGGTGGTGATTCCCCTCACAAGGGGAGCCAAGGGGAGAGTGCAGTGCAGCTCACCTGAGCCACGTGAGCCACTCAGCGTAGCAGCAGCCAAGCAAACTTGTGAGGTAGTGATTCCCCTCACAAGGGGAGCCAAGGGGAGAGTGCAGTGCAGCTCACCTGAGCCACGTGAGCCACTCGGGGCAGCAGCAGCCAAGCAAACTTGTGAGGTGGTGATTCCCCTCACAAGGGGAGCCAAGGGGAGAGTGCAGTGCAGCTCACCTGAGCCACGTGAGCCACTCAGCGTAGCAGCAGCCAAGCAAACTTGTGAGGTGGTGATTCCCCTCACAAGGGGAGCCAAGGGGAGAGTGCAGTGCAGCTCACCTGAGCCAAATGAGCCACTCAGCGTAGCAGCAGCCAAGCAAACTTGTGAGGTGGTGATTCCCCTCACAAGGGGAGCCAAGGGGAGAGTGCAGTGCAGCTCACCTGAGCCACGTGAGCCACTCAGCGTAGCAGCAGCCAAGCAAACTTGTGAGGTGGTGATTCCCCTCACAAGGGGAGCCAAGGGGAGAGTGCAGTGCAGCTCACCTGAGCCACGTGAGCCACTCAGCGTAGCAGCAGCCAAGCAAACTTGTGAGGTGGTGATTCCCCTCACAAGGGGAGCCAAGGGGAGAGTGCAGTGCAGCTCACCTGAGCCACGTGAGCCACTCAGCGTAGCAGCAGCCAAGCAAACTTGTGAGGTGGTGATTCCCCTCACAAGGGGAGCCAAGGGGAGAGTGCAGTGCAGCTCACCTGAGCCACGTGAGCCACTCGGGGCAGCAGCCGAGCAGCGAGAAGGCGTACTGGGGGTAGCGGATCACCTGCACGGGGGGAGAGGAGGTGAAGGAGGGGGGGGGGGCGGGTAGGAAGGGAGATGGGTAGGGAGGGAGTGGGGTAGGAGATGAGGTGGGTTAAAGGCGAGGGGTGTAGGAGCGGAGGTGGATGGGTAGGAGGGTGATAAACGGACGGCCACGCCCGCCCTGTGGGGAAGAACCTCAGGGCTACAGGAGTGTGACCAGAGAATAGTACACGTCCTACAGGAGTACTCCATGGAATACTCCATCCATGTGCCCTTGCGGCTTGCCTGCCCCATGCACCTCGCTGCCCTACATACCATACTATCCCCACGCTTCACAGGAATGGCGAGAGCTGGTGGGCGGGCGAGGAGGGGCATACCTCGGAGAGCGACCAGGTGAGCAGGAGAATGAAGACCGACGCTTGCTGCTGTATCTGATGCGCGCAGCACGTGGGGACGGAGGGACGAGGACGGGTGGGGAGGAGGGAAGGAGAGGAGGAGAGAGGGAGAGGGAGAGGGAGAGGGAGAGGGAGAGGGAGAGGGAGAGGGAGAGGGAGGGAAAGGTAGGGAGATGGAAGGAGATGGAAAGAGATAGCAGGTGAAAGTAAGGAGGGAGTCAGGGCGAGGAAGGAAAATGGGGGAGGAATGCAGCATGGGAGGGAGGACTATCCTCCGATGGCGAGAATGTAGTAGACAATGCTCCCTTCTTTGTGCCAAACGCTCTGTGCCAAGGCAGCTTACCCGCTGCACAGTCAACGTAGTCAACCCAGTCAGCGCGGCCAACCCAGCCAAGCCAACGCAGGCAGTCCAGTTACAGTCAGCCCGGGCAGTCTAGTCAGGGCAGCGGACTGCGGCAGTGGGCTCAGCAGTTTGCCCCATACCACTTCACTTCCCCCACATGCACACCCGCACGCACACACACGCACACACACACACACACACACACACACACATACACACACACACACACGTGCATGGAATCGTCCCTCGCACTTATTCAAAGAGCAGCACTGCTTCTCGCCTGCAACAGTTGGCCCAGCACGCCCCTCCCACTTAGGCCAGCCGTCTTTCCTCCACTCCCCACACCTCCCACCCTCCTTCGGACGTCTACATGGCTACGATGCAGGGTAAGCATCTTGGGTCACGATTGTGCCTGACCTGACACCATCAGTCTGCCAGGTACGTTGCTGGAATGGTCCTGTCCTGGGTGAGAGAGGTCATCATAGCCCCTGTAACTGTACGCACGGTCGGTGGGCTCAGTGGCCGTGTCGTCGTCGGCCATCATGCGTCTCCTCTCCGGCAAGCAAAGCAATGCGCATCCTATCCTAGCTCCGTCTG